AAATTACAAATAAGTGGCCACCAAATAAAAAGGCTGAATGTAGAGAAAACCTGAGAATCTAAAGCAATACAGGAGAATTAAAGGAGGCTCTTGGTGTTGGATCAGAGTTAAGGTACAAACTCTGAAAAAGGTACCCTCATGGTTCAGGCAGATCCATGTCCCAAGCATTTTAAGAGCTGTCCCTTACCATTTGCAGTAAAAGGTCAGCTAGATAAGGTAGAACAGAGACTAAACGCAGGCCTTACCTTATGAGTACAGCACAGTGAGTATCCTAAATAATCCCATTATGCCGCTGAGACAGTCAGTCAGATATCCGCTTCCCCCTTTGGCATCAGTTCTGGACTTGAATTTCTTAAAGGTCCAATGTGCAACCTTTATGAGGATCTATTGGTAGAAATGGAATATAATATTATATTATATGTTTTCATTTGAATGAGCCGTTTTTATCTACAGAAGAAGCGGGTCCTCTTGTACGGAGTCAACAATGTTGAACCGCAGTTATTCTACAGTAGCCCTGAACAGGCCAGAACCAAATACTGGCTCTAGATAAGGCTTTTTGTTTGCCTTGTCGTGTAGGAGAAACTATGGTTGTTTCTCCTACACACTTGGAATCACCATCTATGTACTGTATTATCTTGTAATGTCCTTTTAATGTGGTGCCAACTGTGGCTTTAATGTGTTTCCTATGTACTGACTCCCTCACTGTATTCTGCAGTACTGTGAGCATACTTCGCTGCCCTAACGTCTTGAAACTCCATGGAGTACAATGTAGAGACGACATGAAAACTCCAGCATCATACTACGGTTGTCCATCATCACCGATTGCAGAGTTGTATGTGCTGTTTGGCTTAAAGGACTTTCTAAGGTGCTGTTGTAGCCGAAGTTGGTGCTTCTTGTGTAAGCAAATGCATTTTGCGTCTTTGCAACAATGGACCTTTCAGTTCCCTGTATTTTTGCTTTGTACTTTATTTCCATGACGGGTTACCTTTCAAGTTTTTGCTCTGAACTCACAACAGTCCGGTTGCAGATGTAGCTACAGTACTAATGCTGCGCATGCCAAAATAGATTTTGACGTTTTCAAATATTTTATGGTATTAAAGGTTATCCCTTCATGCAAGCAAGGTTATTTATTTGATCATTTATACCCTTGGCTTCTTGTTGGGATTTTTAGGTCTAAAGTTGGTCTGAAATGTTTTTGATGGAAAATCTGACTTCCTATACTAGCCTTCATAGACAGTTTGTTTTAGACAGTTTGAACCCCGTAGCCTGCCAAAGGCAGACCTTTCCATCGCCTTCTGTTTTAGAGGAGATAATGATTCTCTTTTACCTGGAATAGGATTGCATTTTCTATCTCTCTTGTCCTCTATTCTTCCCTCACCTTTACCTTTCCATCCCTCGCTCCACCCCACCTCCTCCTGTCAGTTGGCCGCTGCTGGTTCTCCCTCCACGGTGGCGATGCTCTATCGCTCCGTCACAGCGCAAGCGAGGGATGAGAGACAAATCAAAACCACCTTATTTCCCCTCAGTCCCTCTCACCGTGCCAGATTGAATTTGAGGTTTTTCATCTTCTTTCTCATCTTTCTCTTTTCCCTGCCTCCCTTAGCGTCCACTTGGAATTACCTGGAACCAAGCCCTCTCACAACTTGATGATGCAGAATCATTTATGCATATGGAGGGAGATAGTCGGCAGCCCTCACTGTTGATTCTTTTGAGTCACTTTAAATCCACTCTCTCTCTGTGTGTGTGTGTGTGTGTGTGTGTGTGTGTGTTCAAAAATGGTCAATACCAATATCAATCGAGGATCCTGCCTTGCTTTTACCAGTGTCTTATAACTCTCCATGCATGCAAATGTCCAAATTAGTTTTGCAGGCTTTAATGTTCAACATTTTTGATCTTTAAAGAAAAATGCTGAAACGCCTTTAGTAAACGTCTTTACCTCGTTTTTCTTGAACAGTTTTGTTGGCTAGTAGTGTAAAAGTGTTATTTATATATATATCCCCTTATTGCCAAATGTAGACCATGAGACGTGTCTAGATCATATCGGGTTAACATTAGGTTGCTGTCAGTAAGTGCATAGGTACCATTTTGCTCCAACCAATATTGTATAAATGAAGGGAATATCAGGAGTAGAATATTTTTATTCCAAAAACATATCAATTACATTTTGTTTGGTCTGGGTCATTTCAACAAAGCAGCTTGTATACTTGTGAACATTTCTGATTACCAATCTTAAAATAATACCTAGGGGGAATCAGGCAATGGACCGCATTGAAGAGAATGTTACTACATTTTAAGCTTAATATGCTTTCCTTTAGGCAATATGTAATTTATTTTCCTTTATTAACTATCAGACAACTTGATATATTTTCTAAAAGTAAAAATCTATATAACTCTTAAGTTGTCACTTTTCTTCAGCATTTGGCTGAACTTGGTCTAAATTACCTTGTTACAAAGAGGAGATACACTCCTACTACACTATACACTGATCTGTCCTAATAATGTCTCTATTTCTGAGTATTTGGTGTACACTGTTGTCCTCACTGACACTGTTGTTTTTTTAAAAAACATATAGAGTGATTGTTATACGGATCATAAATCTCACTCAACACTAAAAATATGAGCTTTCATTTTAGGTAACAGAATGCAGTGATCAGGTTTTTCTGTCCTTTAGGACTTCGTAGCCATTTACCCTCAGAAGACACACACATACACAAACACGCACACTCTCATACACTCCTTTTATGAATTCTTTGTGGGACTCTCCCCAATGATTGCACCTGATTTCAGGAATAGTTACAGATTTATGACCGAAGCGGTCTCATCTGAATCAAAGCTGACAGGCACATTTGCATTGCGTGCTGATTAAACTACACAGCAGTGTGTGTTGGGAGACGTATGAAGGAGGAAGGAAAAAGTATGTGAATAACACAACGGTCTTGTTTAATATTTGTTTAATACTGTCTTGTTTTACACTTAGATACACTGAATGTAATTCATTTACTCACAGTTGTTCGATTCCACATCTGGCCACACAATTAACTGGAAGAGACAGTAGCCTGTTTGGAAGTGAAACACCAGTTTCAGCTGTTAAAACTATACATAGTCAACTCAGTAATTTAAAGTCAGAAAACATAAAACCATACAGCTTCATGCACTGCAGAAGTAACAACCTGTAAGTAGTGCAACTAGTCTTGTGTGTAGATGGGATTTTCGAGTTGGTGGATGAGTGTGCGTGGGGGCCAGTGGCACCTGGCTCCTGCTACCTGAGAGAAATTAGTCCCATCTTCCACTCTGTTGGACCTACTCCCGCCCATCCTCCCTTCACCCCACCTTTTCATTTTCAATTATGGGTTGGAATATGAATCTTTAATAGGGTGATAATTGTGCTAGCATATTTGCTGTCACCCACCATTAGCCCAGATTAATTAGCCCATTTAGTTTAGCTTAAGAAAGTGTCTGGCTGAGGAATGGGGGCACTGATGGAAGACGAGTGGAGAGAGAGTAGAATCAGCACAATCTGTTCTATATCATAATGCCATCTTTCTCCTGCTTTCTCTCTGTCACTCTCCCTTTTTCCTCGTTGCTGCTTTAACTCGCTTTCTCTCATCTAACTGACTCTGTTAGTCTGTTTCATCACTGCACTACACTCAGCAGTATTTTTTGGTCGCCATGACTTTTCAAGTGTTCAGTGGGGAGACTGATGGGGGAAGTCTATGCAGTTGAAACTTTCTTGGAACTATTCTTTAGTTAGCAGTACAGTATGAGCCAGTGGTGCAACTTTTCCAAGCAAGCCCCTCTTCTTTTTGGAGATCACTTAAATGATGTTCAGCTGGCTAAAATGAAAAGACACATCAACAATAAAATTTGTGATTTGAACTTTTAGTTATATGCTAATGAATGTGATATTTGAAAACTACCAACCATTTTGCTATTTTTTTTTTTGCTATTTTGTTAATCTTTTGGTATAATTAAAGCCTAATCAATTCATATTTTTTATATTAACAATAGATAAAATGACTGCATGTAATGTGAAAGGGATTGCATATAGAGAATTATCACCCAAATCTGCAGCTCCCCTAAGTTCAATAAAGTTTTTTAGCATCTCTCAGTTCAGTGTTTGGATTGTATACACCGCAAGATGTTGTTGTCTATAAAAGCTGTTTTCAATAAAAAAAGCTTTGATAAACAACTCTACACTATTCCTCCAGCACCAAAAAGCAGACAGACAGATATTTTCCTCAGACACTAAAAACAGAGCTAAATGAACAGCGAATAATGGACTTAAATTTGTCAAGTGGCCAGAAACAAGACTGAAATTAATGATTATGTTGGTCTATCTGTCGGTGATGTGTTTCCCTTGTTCCCTTGACCCAAAGTGGCCCCAAAAATTTTTTTTTTTTCAAAAGTTTAACCTTTCTTAATGAGCCACTCATTTGCTGCTGTGGATCTGACTTTATAAAATATCAGAATGGAGCCAGGTGCACAAAAGAGAAAAAAAAATCGTATAGCCTCAGAGTTTGGTGTTCTGTCAGTGTAATTGGCAGCATGAGCGAACATTTCAGATTGCATGAAATCATTTGATTCTGTGTTAGTGTGAAAAATATTGCTTAATGGAGCTTTAATCGCACTCTCCACCTTGGTATAAGGCATGTGTGTGGCAGTGGAGTAACTTGGCCATGTCACTAGCTGTAAATCTCTCAGCAGGCAGTGGGAAATGAGGTCTAATCGGAGGGATATTAAAGTCACAATAGACTGCTCCTGCTATTAAGGCCTGTCAGCCCTGGCCTCCTTTCTCACCTTGATATCTCTCAGTCTCTGAATATTTATATGCCTACATCATGGGCTACTTGCACAGTGCAATATGTGCATTTTTCTTTCTGTGTGTGTGTGCGTGTGCTGGAGCATCAAGAAATGTATCATCACAGTTGCCACTCAAGGTCTTTGAATGTGTTTATGTGTCCGTGCTTATGCAGTCCACCTTTATTTCTTCTGATCCCCAGGTGCAGTGGGGGCGAGGCTGCTCTCAGGTCAGAACAAACCCATCACAATGGATGTGGATGAGGAGGAGAATATGAGTGAGTCGACTCGGGTTTTTCTCATTTTTCAGTCTGTCTTCCTGTCTGAGGAATAGCTGGTCTCTACTTTTAAATGTATTCCTGTATTTTTGTTTTCCTGCCTGCATGTCTTCTCTGATATGCCCTCCTGTCCTTCTCTGATGTGTAATCAGTGTGAGCACATTTACCCGCTAATATTACGCAAGTATTAGTATGCTTGGCCTACTTTATAAAATAACTTAACATGCAATACAATGCAAAACTAATCCAACTACATGAAAATCTAACCTGTACATACAAATGTGTTTCCTGACAGTATGTTTGAAAAAAAAAAAAATACTGTTTATATCTGTTGTGTTGCTAATTATATTCTCATTTATTTGCCCCTCCATGAGCATGATGGGAGCTTTGATTTGTCCTCACCTGAACCAAGACACAGAGCAGTGAATACACACACAAATACATGCTGCTGATTTTACTGAAACTTTTGAGGGAAGAACTAATCATTATATCTGAGAGGCTTCAGGTTATATTACAGATTCCCTCTACCTCCATTTCTGTCTTTAGAAAGTCCTCTCCACTCCAGCTTATTGAACTTTAATTAGACATTTTGGTTTGAACTCAGTAAGCGAGCCTCAGAAGGCAAGGAAAGACATGATTGAATGTGTTTCTCTACACCTTAACAATTTTGAACTCACATTCAAAGAAAGCTGTCATCCTAGCAGATGCCATAACCTGCATTACAAACAAAAAGTTCTTATTGTAGTGTCAAACTCCGTGTTTTTGCTCTGAGAAGCATGTTGTTATGTGTTAAGTCAAATGAGCATGGTTACAAAAATAGTGTTTGTTGTCTTTCAAAGCTTCTGAAGCCTCAGAAGATATATTTGAAGATAAAACACAGTCCAAGCTCACTCAAGTCTATTTCTTTAATACCAAGGGAACACCAGAGAAAAACATGAAATCATTTTTTACTTTTATGTGACAACCTTAGCAGTTCTTGAGATTCTTTAATCACAATAATCATCCCAAATCAAAAGCCAACAAACAAGTTAAACTTAAAATTAAGTTGTGATGAAAGAAGCATTATTTGGTTCATGGTTCAACCCCCACAGGGGATCTAAGCTCTGAAAGATCCAAGCATATCGGATCTTTTGTCTTTGCATAACTAATGGGTGCTGATTACACAGATGCTGGCATGATAATGACCACAACTGCATGTGTGTGCCATAATTCAATGCATGGTGTCATGGCTGTGGCTCTATGGCTTTTGTCCTCTGATCTGGCCTTAGGCTCTGGAGTGCGACTGGATATCCATCATCCTGCAAAAAGTTATTATACTATAAAATGATTAATATCAATTTTGTCCCCTTTAGAGGAAGTTTAAATGTGTTTATACATTTTGAAATGGAGAAAGAGAGCTCCAGTTTTTTTCCTATGTGCCATGATATTCACTGTATTTGTCTGTGCAGCATGCTAGAGTTCTCAGTTTGTGGTTCAATTTTTTTGATTGGCTTATTAGTTCCAATACCCCACAAATATAACTGTTATGAGAAAGGGTGCTGATCGCAATGTGTGTATTTAAGTATATTATACATTCAATTCACACATTTCCAGTAGCTGAAAGTTCTTTGCATTCTACCTTTTGCAGAGAAACACAATGAGCTATAGTACTACGTGCAGTATATTTCGAAATACTTCATTAAGAAAGAGAGTCAGAGTCCTCATTTAACATGTACAGTTTTCCACCGCAGCTAAAATGATTCAACTAATACTGCCGTATCTGTGGTGGTAAAAGGTTGTTTGCTGAAATTGTGTCCCTGTCCAACACACAAATCACCATTTAGATAGGTGATAGTTCTTGGCTACTTTTGTGCACAATCACGCTGTCCCTCCTTTCCCGTGTGTTTTTTTTTTTGCAAAACTCTTAATACCAGTTTGCAGAATGCATGCTCACACCAAAAATATTGCATGTTTTCAGTGCAGATATGCTCATAAATTGAAGGATATGCAGTTTGTGTTCTTGATCTTAGGAATAAGTGTCTATATTTTCTTGCCTTTAGCCATGTCAATTGTAGTATGCAGATGGTAACGGCATGTCATTACATTTTGCAACCTGAAACACTGTGTTCTCTGACAAGCTCCATGGGGGGATCTCAGAGGCGCAGGGTCTTATGAATGGCACCTCATTAGAAACAGATTTTGAATTCAGATTTTCCTCATTTTAAATACGACAGTCATTCTTTTCAAAATCTTATATAAAACGGGTAAACAGCATTTTAACCTCCCACCGTGTCACCAGTCAAGCCTTTAGGATCCCGCAGTAGGTGGAGTCTTCTCCTTCTGCCTCTTTGATGTATTCTCCTGTTTGCCTGGTCCTCAGCTCCTCCCCCTGCACTCCTCCCTGCACTCCCTCAACCCAACCTACAATCCCACTCATGCACACTGCGGCCTCTCTTTCTCCTGAGTACCGCAAGGAGTAACCTATCAAGCCTTTGCTGAAGGATGTTATAAATGAAAATTTTTGACAATATTCCATCCACTTTGCTAACTGGATTCAGTGATATGTGTTCCCCAGTACAGCATATTTCAGAGCCTGCAGTTTTGAACTGAACTTAAAATGTACCTAATCTTTCCGTAGGCACTTGAGCAATTAAAACTTGACAGAGTGGATGAGAAACAGCTCTGTGAGCGTGTGTGTCAATGTTGAGTGTTGATATGTGTTCTCGTATTTGTGTGCATAAATGTTTGAGACCCATAACATGTACGTGCAACCTGACAAATGTACAGTAGTTGTTCTTTGAAAATATATTTCTCCCACTTTACCCTTACCTTTATAATAACAAGGCTTCATAACTACAATTTTAATTCTGAAGATCTATTTAGAGGTTAATTTCAAAGTGTGCCATGTAACCAAAATATAGTCCAAAAACACTGTTTTGAATGTTGACCAAGGTACATCTCTAAGAACTCGGCATATCTGTAAGAACAGTAGATGTACTGAGGTGTTCAATATCAACAGACTATAGGTTCATATACTCAATCACATTAAAAGCCAGCTTCTCTTGCTTTGATTATGGAACACAAATCATTGGTTCAGTTCCAAAGAGTGATAAAGGAATCTATAAATTTTGCATTTACAAGATCCTGCAACGAAGGCGTTGTAAGTTACTCTTTCTGGGCACCGCAGGTTCGAGCAGCACCGATGTTAAGGAAAACCGAAACCTGGACAACGTGTCCTGCAAAGACGGTGTGGGAGTTGCTGAACAGCTCCCCAATGGCAGTGGCTTGGGCAGTCGAAAGCGCCCCCTAGAAGAGGGGAACAATGGACATGCACACTCGAAGTTCCGGGCCAAGAAGCGCAAGAAAACACCAGGGCCAGTCCTGCCCAAGAATGCTCTGATGCAGTTGAACGAAATCAAACCGGGTCTACAGTACAAACTGCTGTCTCAGACAGGACCAGTCCATGCACCGGTTTTTGTCATGACTGTGGAGGTCAATGGACAGATGTTTGAGGGCATGGGCCCGACTAAGAAGAAGGCTAAACTAAATGCAGCTGAGAAAGCACTGCGTTCTTTCGTCCAGTTCCCCAATGCCTCTGAGGCACACCTGGCCATGGGTCGCACATTGACAGTGAACACAGACTTTACATCTGACCAAGCTGACTTCCCAGATATGCTCTTCAATGGCTTTGAGACACCAGCTGCACCTGAAGAATCCTTCTATTTAGGCTCTAATGGTAACAGCTCCTTAAACTCACTAGGGGAGTACCCACTGCCCACACCACCTGGCAGCAACCTTGCCCAGGCCCCATTGCCCCCTCCATCAGCATTCAGCTCGCCCTCCAGTGGCAAAAACCCAGTCATGATCCTCAATGAGCTCAGGCCAGGCCTCAAATATGACTTTGTCTCAGAGAGCGGGGAGAGTCATGCCAAGAATTTTGTGATGTCAGTAACAGTGGATGCACAGACGTTTGAAGGCTCAGGGCGCAACAAGAAGCTGGCTAAAGCCCGGGCAGCACAGGCCGCCCTCTCAGCTCTCTTCAACATGCAGCTAGACCAGACACCATCCCGGCAACCCATACCAAGAGAGGGATTGCAGCTTCACCTACCCCAGGTAAGATATTGATTTTCTTTATAGATTGCCATACTATTGTCAAGATGTTCAGCAGTTGGGACCAGATGAAGCATCAACCATTCGCTTTCTTCAGTCTTTTAAAAAGGTTTTCCATGTTTTACACTTTGGCTCACAACTTTCCTACTGTAATGGCACAGAGTTTACAGGTTGACCAAACACTAGGCCTTGAAAGTATGAATTATTTTGAATGACCACATTGTTTTGTGAATTTAGTAAGCCATAGAAACCTTTTCTATGTGTTGTGATCTGGAGTTACAGCAATATATCAGGTTATTTAGAATGCATTATTCCTGTGGCTCTTTGTAATGCAGTTCTGTTGGCAATCATTTAAAAATACTTAGCTTGTGAGAGTACCCTTATAGTTATAAGCAAACATACAATGGCATATCAGACATATGGTTTTCCTTCAATAAAGCCATCACTGGATTATTTACTTGATCATGTCAATCATTTGCAAATCAGAATTTAAGAAGAGAGTCCAAAAAGTCAGAACTTGAAAACTGAACTGAGAAAAGGCTGAGAGTGGTTTTAGAAGTACGTGGAGATGTAAATGTCATGCGTATAATTGAGATGACAGTGACCCGTCCCTATCTTACTTCTCCCTAGATTATGTTCATTTTTCATCTTTGTAAAAAGACTTTTCAGATGAATTACACCCCTCTTTTTTAAGTGAGTGTATTCCAAAATAAATGGTTGATTTAATTATATCATCATAGTATCATTTTTATATCATAGTAGTCAGTTACTCCTCAGAGATTTGACAGAAGATGTGGCCAAAACTTAACAGGGAACCCTAACCCAAAAATATGGATATGACTTTTGGGTTGCAAAAGTGGTCTACTCCAAACTGCTCCATCTGTGCTGCTCAAACTTTGCTGTTCTAGTAGGTAATCATTAAAACCTCATTGGCATCATGTGTGCAGGGACCGAGGGCAGGTGGTTGCTTTTGATGCCACTGAAGAGGTGACAGTCAGAGCGATGCCAGTGTTTGAAGAGAGATAACTCTGTCGACAAAGCTAATCAGCACAACACACTGTCAACAGTCCCCGTCCCAAAGCTTTTTTTTTGTCTTTATTCACTCTCTCCACTTGTCAACTGATTTATTCTACAAGAACCCCATTTTAACGATAGTGCCCCAACTAATTGCTCTATTAATTCTCCGTAGCTTGGTATTTAATTTCTGCAGCTTCCATCTGGGACTAATGGGGGGAAATGGTTGGAGTCCATCATTGTTTCAAAAAACATGTTAACTTTAGTCTATTTTATAGTCTGCCTTGGTTTTGATGGCACTCAAATCAAAGTTATCAATTTTGGCATGCAACAAAGGAAAGATATCTTTTGCTCATTCTTGAAAGGAAATATTTTTTGAACATGTGTTTTTTGTCCGAGTGATTGGTACTTTTTTGTACCCCTTACAGTCTACTCCATAGACAACCTTGAAATTCGAAAGTCAAATGATCTGGCTACGAGTGGGTGACTCCAAAGTAGCAGGGAAGTAATATTGGACTAATCTCTTTAATTTGTGGTCATCCAGCCGTCGTCTCTCCTCTTAGTTGTCGTCATTTTCCATCACATTAGCAATGGATAAAGAGCCAGCAAGAGGAGGTAGCTGTCTAAGAACAAAAGAAGTGTGAAGTTCACTTGAGGTTCCCCCAGAGTTTAGATTGGAGGTTTAAGCCTTGTGGAACGTCGACAAACACTTTGTTCATATCTGTTGCTCAAGTTTACTTTGGTTTTTGCTTTTTGTGACTTACTGTCAGAAGGGAGATGGTAAATTATAACTGTCATGCCAAACTCAAAGAGCGTTGCTTGAAAGACGGTTAGGTATACCTCCGGGGGTCAACCTAGTTTCACTTGTTGCCGTTTCAACGCTTGTTTGGAGATGAATGCGAACACTGTGACAGGTACATGCTGCTCTAGGGGAGGATAACATCAGACGCGCTTTGTAAGCTGACATATCTGACACAAGCTTGTGTTTGTGTGACTGTGTGACTGTGTGCATGTATGCGTGTGTCTTCCTGTTGTGTGCCTGCATGCATGTGTGTGTGTGTGTGTGTGTGTGTGTGTGATTCCAGGTTCTGGCAGATGCCGTCTCTCGCCTGGTGGTGGATAAGTTCAGTGAGCTGACAGACAACTTCACCTCCCCCCATGCACGACGGAAAGTCCTAGCAGGGGTCGTCATGACAACAGGTATATTCGGGGTGCTTTTATGCTTACAACATATGGCACTGACAGTCAAGTATTTTCAAGTATCGAAAGATAAATTCAGGTTGCAAGGCTAATAGAGCTGACAAGTCATTGTTAAGTTAAGGTTTCTTCATGAATGACTTACTTTTTGCAGCGTTTTGCACAGTTTTGTGTTCAGTCCTATTACTAGGGCTGGAATATGACTAAATACATTTACTCAAGACCAAGTTACGGTATTTGTACTTGAGAGTTTAAATTATTTCCTTTTAGTATAAAAGGAGTAAAGTTTACTGCAGCCTATATAGATATATAGTCACTTTAAATTAAGATTTAACATGCAAATGCATAACAATGCATCATAAAATAAGATGCATTGCTATAGATTAGACAACCCAACAGTATGTAAAGGATAATGCCCAATGAGGTGTCCAACAAGCTATAGATATGACTTGGCAAGGGCGCTTTGGCTCAGCTACAAGATAGAGATGCAGACATGATACAAGCTATACCATCAGATTATATAACACTCTGCAGGGTTAGACAAGGGCAATAGTTTGGTTGGATTTTTTCTGTCCTGTCAGTGTCATTAAAAACAGAATTTAGACCAGTTTGCACATGTATAGTATATTCTTTGTTGCGTGTCAATTGACTAATATGTCTTTGTTCCCTCTACCCCCAACAGGGACAGATGTGAAGGAAGCACAGGTTATTTGTGTCTCCACGGGAACCAAATGCATCAACGGTGAGTACATGAGCGACCGCGGTCTGGCACTCAATGACTGCCACGCTGAGATAATCGCCCGACGCTCGCTCATCAGGTACCTCTACACGCAGCTGGAGTTCTTCCTCAGGTCAGTGGACAGTGTAATTTTTTTCTCTTCAACACAGTTCAGTTCTGGAAGGTTGCATGTATTGATAATCTAATTATATGTATTTCCACTGCTCTTTGCTGTATCTATTTCAATTTATTTTAACTCCATTTGAATGAGCTATAATGAAAAATACCCGTGTGTCGTTTTAGCAACAACAAGGAGGACCACCATAAGTCAATATTTGTGCAGTGTGAAAAGGGAGGCTACAGGTTAAAGGACAACGTTCAGTTCCATCTCTACATCAGCACCTCGCCCTGCGGAGATGCCAGGATCTTCTCTCCGCACGAGGCCGGAGTTGAAGGTAGCAAACAGATCGCAGAGCATCTGCTCGCTGCCTCACATTTGCCTCATCTCTCCTCCTCAGCTCAACCGACATGTTTTCAATTTGGTCTAATCTTAGTTTGCAATTCAGTTTCAACAACAGTGTTTTTTATTTAATTTAATTTGTAGGTTTTACTCATGCTTGGTTTCATTTAATTAGAATTTTGCTCCAATGTCCAAATACACATTACAGACACATTTAAACAAGGCTCTAGTAATTAGAGCTTTTTGTCATTTGCTGTCTGTCTCTATCAGTCTTTCTCCCGCCCAGCCCACCCACACTGTCTGTCTGATTAACCTCCCTCTTACTCTTGTCAAAGTGTTTTCCGTTGCACATGGCAGACTGAATAGAAAACAGCCACATTCAATTAGTCACTGAATAGATGGCGCCTGCTTGTGGAACAGCAGAAAACATTGATAACATAATAATAAATAATAGGTCATGCTTTTGTGGAAGCCATTTTTTCCTTCTTTCTTTTCTCTCTCTGTTTTCTCATGTTGAGGAGATATTTGCACATGGTATACAACATTTTCTGACCAGGCTTTCCTATGTGAAATTGTCTTATAAAGCAATCATATTAGTCAGGCACATCTGTAATTCCCTCTACAGTTCTATACTTTTATATATGTCTTTTTTTTTATTTCTGTCTTCCCATGCTGTCTCACTCAGACCAAGGAGACAGACATCCCAACCGGAAAGCACGGGGACAGTTAAGGACCAAAATTGAGTCGGGGGAGGGCACCATCCCTGTAAGGTCCAGCAACACCATCCAGACCTGGGACGGAGTGCTGCAGGGGGAGAGGTTACTCACTATGTCCTGCAGTGACAAGATCGCAAGGTAATTTGGCTCAAACAATGTTTTTACTTCACACACTAAATATAAAGCTACAGTCAGCCATCGGTTAGTTAAGCTGCATTAAGACTAGAAACGGGGAAAGAGCTAGCCTGGCTCTGACCAAAGGCTCCTACCAGCACCTTTTAAAGCTCAATAATTAACAAGTAAGCCAAATTGTTTTTCAAATACTGCCATTAAATATGTTTCATCCTCTTTATACTTTATACTTTATACTGAAACCATATTTATCCATGTTACGTTTCATATGTCATGATACTCTTTTTGTTTTATTTACTCATACTGCAACGAATTGCATTATATCCTCGCTTTTGTCATTTTCCTCAGGGAGTGTCAGGGACAGCTGATTTGATGGATGCTTTATCCCTGGGGCATTTTTGCAGGCCGATCATCATGTCTTTAGTCTCTGTCCATGTTCAAGGCAACACTGTGCCTCCCTTGTGATGAACGATAAAACTTCAACATAACTCTTCTCACAAGTCCCTTTTTTTCCCCACCTACTCTTGTTGCTTCTCCTTCCAGGATCGTAATACCTTGCCTGAACGCACAAAGTGATTGAATGCCGAGTGTGTATTTGATGAGGGAGATGTCGACTGTGTAGAGAATGCTGTTTGCACTGTGTGAGAAGTCTTGTTGCCCTTTTCAGCGTGTCAGTGCTGGTACTAGTGATTCAGATTTTGTGTGGTTCTCCAAAGTGGAGCGATTCAAGTCAGTAGAGGGCAAAATAGGTTGAAGACCATACATTTAGTCATGTTGGTTATTTCTGGCCAAGCTTTACTAGATAACAAGGAAAAACATGAGATATTTTAAAGTTGTCACCAGCTACAGTTACAGAGCATCTGAAAATTAACCCTTTACAGTTAAGATTAGGGATTGGTGTGAGTATGTCTCTTCCACTGTGAGGAAAAGACTATGAAATGCTTCTCCCTCTCCCTGACTCTGCCCTCTCATAACACAGCTATTAGCCAGGTGAGAAATGTGCTGCCCACCTGCTTCTGTCCCCTTGTGAGTGATTGTTAGCCGCGGGGCTGCTATTTAATACAGCAACTGACTGGCACACTATGACCGTGCCCGTAATGTTCTCTCCTTACACGTTGTTTTCTCTTCCCTCATTTTCCCTTTGATTACATACCTAGCCCCACGGCCTTAGTGAGAACGAGCAGTTCTCCGTTGTTCCCAGCTGTTTGAATGAGCTCATTAGCAAATGGGCAAAGCTCTTGTGGGGGTTATTTCTCTCCATTTGTCCTGTTTCCCCCTGTCGTTACTGATTATGTGAGCCTTGACTTTTTCTGACCCTGTTCTCCTGCGTGTGTGCGCACAGAGCATGATATTGAATAAGATAACTACAAAGAAATACAGAGATGTTTGACAGGAATTAAATTGAATGACTCTGAAAACATAATTCAAAATGTGTTTTTGTGTTACTGCACTTTGTGCACGGGACAGAATATTATGGGGCTGTTTGACTGTGCTGAATGTGTGCTTTACTGCTTCTAGCTATGAATTGGGAGATTTCATTTTGGCCTCCCTCAGTTTCACACACAATATCACACACTCTCACACACATATACACAGAGGATATTACATATGGAAACAGTGGTCCCTCTTTGTAGCCCGGGGTATTACGCTTGCATATTTCTCATTGTTCTGGGTCCATGTTGGTAATTTCACACACTCTCAAACAGTCTGCCTGAAGTCAAAGGGCGAATGAGAAGAGCTCATCATTTCTAGAGGTCCTTAAAGGGTAAAGGTTAGTGATAATCAGTATTTCAACAAAAATAACCAAAACCCACAATACATTGATTTTACTAACTACTAGTGTTGCTTGTGTAGCCAAATCCTTAGTTTCAAGTTCTTTATTGTTATATGCACAACAATTACAATTATATTTTAAGATCTCAAGCCCCAGCCAACAACATTCTCATGGATATGAATTAAAAAATATGTGTAATCTAAAATATAGGAATATAATACAAAATTAAGTAATCGTAAAATGTGTAAATTGTAATGTAAACAGGTTGCACAGTAATGTATTAAATGTATATATAATGAGAACAGGTTGTAGACAGGTATGTATATAAATGCATATATACTGTGATGGATAAACAGCTTATAAATAGGTAATAAAATAAATATGCACATACATACTGTGAGGTGAACAGGTACAAACAGGTACATACATATATATGTGTGTGTGTGTGTGTGTGTGTGTGTGTGTGTGTGTGTGTGTGTGTGTGTGTGTGTTTGTGTGTATATTATGGAATTATTATATATAAATATAAATAATACAAAACTTGAATAGTTGGAATTAAGGGTGCAAATTATCAAACTGAACCCTTGTAGAACCAGGCCTGAATATAACTACTATACTACATTATTACTATAATTACATATTATAAAAAATAAAAACAAATAAAAATAAATAAATAAAGATATTAAAAATCATATATATGCATATGTATATATATGCCAGAGGTAAATATAGTATAAACAATGCAGAAGTATGAAGTATTAAAGTGTAAATTCTCATCCATGTATCATTGTGGCTCTAGCTTATTATACATTAACCATCCTGTTGCAGTAAATACTTACTAATAGACCAAATGTGCATTAATCCACAGCTGAAAATAGTCCCTAACAAATGCACAATTTACTCCTCTGTGAGTAACATTTGCTAAAAGACTCCAGTATCCAGTCGTTTTAGGAAATTATTGAGCCTTTTTTAAAGAATGAAACCATGTATTTGTGATCTGTTTTTGGAGATTTACGTCTTAGGAATGAATGGGTTTGGCTTGAGGGACTGAATTATTGGTGGTTTGGGTTTTTTTTTTTTACAGAATTTGTTGGCAACAAGAAATATCCTCCCTTCATCTTCTGCCCCTCTCTCTCTTCATGTCTGTAACTCCCTCTCTCTCTGTGTCTCTCTCCCTCCCCCTCAGACGATGCTTCACAGAGCATGTCAATGGGAAAATGACTGGGGAGAGATGGCTAATGACACAGCATAGAAATACACAGAAGTTTGTAGAAAATGAAATTGGATACCTCAGAGTGTACACAACTGTAGGATTGTGGGCGATCGTGTGTGGTGGATTGCATTGGCTGGTTATGTACTAATATATTTTGCTTGTATGTATGTGTGTATCCACTTATGCACATACCACATTATCTATTTCTTTGTATATTCAGTCTTTGAACTTTTCAGTGTTTGTCACACAGAACACAGTTCTTTAGCTCAAAACCCAGAGTCACCGGACACTTTTTAGGCAACAGTGTGATCCTTTGAAAGTCATCTTCATTTTTGTGAAGCATATTTGAGTGGTTAAGACAATGAGGAGTTGTCAGTTTCTATCACAAAACTAGAGTGAAAATTGAGAAAATATTGGTAGAGAAGAGGATGTTTGTTCACAAAGAGCTCACAGATATCGTCAGTGTTTGCTTGCTGTTTGTGGCAGTTACAGTTGCTATGGCATCAAGGTGTGCGTCGTGCAATTCATTTGAATGTAATTTGTGTTTTCTGATATTTTTAAATGTGAATTAAAGTGGTAAACCAAGATGTTTGGTTTGGTCTGAGCTTCTGAATAACTGACGCTGTGTGTGGAGGTCAACATTATATAAGCACATTTTTCCATAATCACCACAAAAATGCTGCTATAACGGCACATTGCTAACAAATCCGCTCCAAAGCCAGGTTATCTAACGTATGTGTGTGTGTGTGTGTGTGTGTGTGTGTGTGTGTGTGTGTGTGTGTGTGTGTTTTCCCTCTGCAGGTGGAATGTGGTGGGCATTCAGGGCTCTTTGATGAGCTACTTCACAGAGCCAATCTACTTTTCCAGCATCATCCTTGGCAGCCTTTACCACGCCGACCACCTCTCCAGGGCCATGTACCAACGTATCGCAGATATCGAGGACCTGCCCCAGCAGTTCACCCTCAACAGGCCTCTACTCAGTGGTCAGTGCCTGCTTTGATGTGGAAAAAATAAATCTGATAAGATTTCTGCTGAAAGAAATGTTAACTTATCAAAAGCTCAGGCTCAAGTGATAGCGTTTTGAGCGTTTCTCTTTGTTAATCTTTCCCAATCAAACTTCCGCTGTCTGAATATCAAAGAGGAAGACGTTAATCCTAAGCAGTAAACATATTTATCCACCTTGCTGGTGAGTCCACAGCACGAAGACAGTTATTGCTTTTTTCCTCTGTTTAATCTGAGCTGACATTTACTTAGTTCCTGTGGAATTTGAATAGCTTTATCATTTTTTGTAAATTTTCAGCATTGGCTTGACCTTTCAGAAAGGCCATATAGACCAAGACTCCTGCGTTTTGTTTTGTTTTTTTCTGACTTTCCATTTTTAGATTTAGCATTCAGTCTTTGTCTTTTGGTGGTTCAGAAGACTTTGTAAAACAATAAGCATGTGAAATTTCCCTGTAAATGTTAGATTTGCCAAACCTATTTGCATAAAACACATTTGGTTTTTAACTGTAATTGTCACGTATTTCCTCTTATTTTAAGTTTAAGTTTTAAGTTCTTTTCAACATAGTTTCTGACCTTTAATTTCTCTTTCTGTCCCACTTTTTTTCATCTCCCTCTCTTTTTCATATAAAATAGTAATGAATAAACTATCATACACTTGATACAGACATTGACATCAAAAGACAAGACAAGAAAAGCTGCTTAAGTAAAAAAAAAATTAAGGGCTCGACCCCCTTAGTTACTGTTGCTATGCCTGATAAGCTTTCCTTTCTCACGCAGCACGTACTGTGTAGTTTACAGCACTAACCGGAGCAAAATCACCATCGAAATTCTTTTTTTTTTTTTTTTATCAACAGTGAAAGAAGATTATCATTTCTAGCTAATTGGCCAGACATGCTAACATTTGCACCTTTCATTAAAGCAGATAAACACACTGTTCAATCGCTTCCTTACGCATTTTCTCTCGTGTTTTTGCTCTTATCAAAGGCTAAAAACTCCACCACAACCCTCCAAACCCTTTAAAGTTATGGTTGCCATGCTGTAACTGGACAATTCCACTTGTGACGCTGTGGTCATTTTCCTCAGGGATGACAAGGGGCATCATACCGCAGGGCCTGGAGCTATGTGCAGCTCCTCGTGCTCCTCGTGCTCCTCCTCTCTGGTTGCTCTCTAAATGGCGAGTAAAGGAGATAATAGTAGGGGGTTATTAACCTTTTCCGCTTTAGAGAGTTTTTAGCGGTGAAGCACTGTGGCGTTAGAGTACTAAGGATTTCATCCCCTTTAAATCATCTTCTGCCACAAGTGCTGCCAAATGGAACCAAGGAGCTTAATACTCATACACTCACACACAGACACACACAAAGAGCAAGACACCAGGATTTATGGCATCCATACAGTATATCTCCCATACTCTTGGCTCTGACCTCAGAGTCCCCCTAGCTGGATTGTATTTGTCTCTACTCAGTAGGACAAAAAAATGGAAAAAATTGCTGTTTCAAGATATTAGAGCTTTGGGAACAGCTGTCATTTGAAGGAATGGGCTGTCAGGTTTGGATACCTCATCCATTGTTTAATATATTCCCCACAGAAGCTTTGGAGGAAGGAGAAGGGAAATAATTATCTTATTACTGACACAGTCCCTTTTCTGCTTGAAAGCTTGAAGACAGTTTTTAATTTTGGCTTGTTGTTTTTTTTACTTTTTGCGGGTCTTAACATTATGTTGGGAAAAGGTTCTTAAAATGTGCTGCTAAAGGAAAACAGTGGAAAACTGGTTTTCGTGAACTAAGTTGTTTTCAGATTCGATGCATTTTTCTTGTGATCTGTTTTCACAGGTTTTTTTGCTTTCTGGCTAGCAGAATGAAGGAACACGCACTCTTTAAGTTTATCTGAAATTGAATTACATTTGCTCAGTCTCAGACCCACGTTGTTTTTGATTCCAGGTATAAGTAATGCAGAGGCCAGGCAGCCAGGCAAGGCACCCAACTTCAGCGTGAACTGGACGGTGGGTGACCAGGCGCTGGAGGTGATCAATGCAACCACAGGCAAGGACGACATGGGTCGCGCTTCACGTCTCTGCAAGAACGCCCTCTACAGCCGCTGGGTGCGCCTACACTCCAAGGTAAATATATAATGCACTCGGTTGTTTTGAAGCAGTGGTGGTTTGATACCCAGCCCTATTCACTAGTAGTGTGGGCTGCTTTTTGTTCCTGTTGTTTTGGTCACATTTTACTGGTTCCTCATGCAGTCAAGTTTTGTTGAATCAACATTCAACAGAAGTGCTACTGTGTAATCCAGATTTGATTTATGTCACATTTAGCAGCTTGAGGCAAACCTGAAGTTTGAAATCGTACTTCCTTGAAAAGCTGGCTCGAGAGAGGAGTTGGAGTACAGCATCGCTTAGATCAAACAGGACATTGCAGTAGTAACATGATGATTTTCAGACCACATACAGAGATCTGATTGGTAAAATATGAACTCCAACATCAACATTTGACACTGGGTATAAGTTAACATCTTGGAAAAATAACCCTAAAATTGAAGTGAGGAGAATCAGTCTTGCTGATTTAATTTATGCACCAACTTTCTTCTATTTTTTTTACGGTTAAACTCTTAAACACAGATACAGAAAGGGAGACATAACTGCAGTCAATGTAATGAGCTTCATATTTACTTAATCCAGAGTTTAACCCGGCTTCAGCATTACAACCAAACTCCTCATTCATTATTTACTCTCTCCCTCCCTTTCAGCTTTCGTCCATCTTGTGGATCAAGATGCTCAAGCCCAGCTCCTACCATGATGCCAAGCAGGCGGCCACAGAGTACCACTCTGCCAAGCAGGCGCTCATCAAGGCCTTCCACAAGGCTGGCCTTGGGGCCTGGGTCAAAAAGCCCATTGAGCAAGACCAATTCACCCTCAGCTCCTGAGGGAGTCAAGGGACCAAGGGATTCCTAACCCCCCCCCACTTCTTCCCCCCTTGACCCAGGCCTGAAAGCAAGAGAGATCCCTATTAACGACCAGCCCACAGAGACACTTACCTCCGTCCCATGTGTCGGCACGTGCACTTTGTACTTGTGGAAATAAACGTGCGTAGTGTCACATCCGTAGCTCATCATTTTCATTCCTCAGAGGACCTCATGTCTTTTCTCATCATATTGATTTTTGTCCTTTTTATTCTGATTTTAATGGATGGTGTCTTCTCATCTGCTTGTTTTCTGTTTTAAAACTGGAATCAATGGTTTTTACACCACTGAGTTGCTTATGTTTGCAAGAGAAATTGTGTTTTTACATCTTACATGTGGAAGTTGAAATGATACAGTTTTGTCTATTTTCTTGATCATCGAGTGTAGCCAGTTTAGGGTGAAATGTAGCCTAGAAACACAGGATCTTTGTTAACTAAAACCAATGTGTATGGACCTAAAAAAAAAAAAAAAGAAGATATATACTTGCTAAAAATGAATGCCTATGACAAACTTTAATTTAAAAGACGCATAACTCTTCAGGATGTAAATCTAGTACTGAAAAGAAAGAGAACATAATAGTTATATAACATTTAATGTGTGGTATTTGGTCCGTTCCTTAGATGAGACTACATGTTCATAGACCCTGTATTAAAGATGAAAATGTTACAAAATGTGGTGGTCCCGTTTGTTTCACTGACTGGAAAGAATACGGGCCAGGTGTCGCAGCAGTTTAGTACACTTTTGTTCGATTTTTTTATGTCTTGTTCATTCATGCATATTTTTTCTGTAAGTTATTTTATGTCACTCTCATTCCATACTTGAACTGTGGGGGGTGGGGGGTCATGTTGAGAGCATCACAGTCCCCCCCTCCCTCCCGACTCCTCCTCCCCTCGCCTGGGTCTCGGGACAAGCTTTGGGAGGTGCTGCACGTTGTATTTTTCCTTGTTCTAAGCCATGGCTTTGCATGGGAACTGAAGTGGGAGGCCTACAGAGCAGAAAACACGTGGTGGAGAGCTTCCATCAGTGAATGATTTTGAATGAATGCCAGCATCTTCCTCCACAGGCAGCTTTGAATCTTTGTCTCTATTTTCTATATTTCTTGTGATTGTTTGTGAGTTTGTTTTGAGGGGAGGGACAGGGACAGGCTTTTTGTTGTTGTTGTTGTTGTTTTTCTTAAGATTGGGCATTTGAGGATTGGGGATAATACTGCAGTGGAAATAGTGATAGCATAAACAGACCTCTCAGATCTTGTAACTATATAACTTTGTGGCAGGGATCCATGATAGCTGTCAGTTGAACTATTAATAGAAGGCATGGTCTATTTACTGTAGCGCCACATACAGTAAGTTACGTTCACTGGATGCCACATTATCCCGTCCTGTAGTGATAGTCTGAAATGCAAACATGTTGTAATCCCTCAAACAGACTCACATGTTGTGTGCTAATACCTGAGAAACTCTACCAGTAGGTTACAACCAAATGTATTACAGTTGTGATGTCATTTTTGTCATCCTCTCTCCTTCATCTGCAGAAAACACGTTAGTTGCGTAGTTCAAGACAACCTTTGTGATCTGACCTGCAACCTTCACACCCTGAGTGCGTCAATGTCCTCATGTTTTCAATTTGTAAATGAGGATGTATTTCCAAGTAACTGCTGTGAATTCCTCTTTTGTGTGTGTGTGTGTGTGTGTGTGTGTGTGTGTGTGTGTGTGTGTGTGTGTGTGTGTGTGTGTGTGCGTGTGTGTGTGTGCGTGTGTGTGTGCGCGTGCAGTCTATGTGTGTCTTTAAGTATACTCTGTGGAATCTTCACCAAAGATGATGATGTCCATGTGTGTTTGTGCCCTTGCAAATATTTTTCTCTCACTTTTTTTTTTGTTTTTATCAAACCTTTACTGTTTGTTTTTGTATACCCACTGAACAATGTTCGTCTGATTTGTACTACAAGTGTGTATTCCATTCAGTATGGGGGAAATTGGATTGTCCGGCTTCTTTAGTGCATCTGTAGCTGTCGGTGGCCACGTGTATATTGTGACCTGCAATCATTATCGCTGCAGTATAGTAGTTCTGTGTATATAAGGAACAACGAAAATAATTTCTGTTCCCTGTACAATCAGTTCATCCCATCCTAAAAACTGTTTGAACTCTTTCCCTGTTGCTGGGATTGTGAAGATGTTAATGTTTCTAAAGTAAGTATTAGTGGTTCTCTGTGACTCACTGGGCACCATAAAGCATGGCACTAACACTGCCGGGGTTAACAGGCTTCATCCCCATTGTAGCCACCAATGTTTATTAAAAAAAATGCACTGTAAGGTGCCTCAGCTAAAAGTGGCATCCACCAGCTGGCACGTGTGATGTCATATATGTACCCTTTTTTTTTTGTTTTGTTTTTTTTATTCTATTTGGTTGTTTTATGAGTCCGTATTAGAAAAGCAGGAAAAGGGGGTTCCAGCGTTGACTTGAAGGTACAAACCTTGAAATTTGGTTAGAAAAAATAATCACAGAACACCCTCCCCCCCAGACCCAGACCCAGACCCAGACCCAGACCCAGACCCAGACCAAAGTCACAAGCAATACTCCTGATGTCTCCGTTAATGTCACCCTATCACAAACAGGAGTCTGAATGAAGTTTCCCTCCCCCCACTGTCCTGTTCACTCTTTACCAAGCTGTCTGAAGGTTTTTTGTATACCCCCCCTCCTGCCCTCCCTGAAGAGACTGCCTGCTTCTAGAGTTTTGTTTATCTTTTGTCTGCACTAAAGATGTCAACTAATGATGTCATGATATAAAACCATCCCCGTTTATGGATTGGATGGCAACTATCACAGCAAGAACTGAACTGCTTCTGCTTAACCCTTTGTGAATCCTCGATGATGGTCAGTGCCCCCCTCCCTGCCCGTGCAGCTGCGTCTGTAGTGGGTTGTTTTTTTTTTCTTTCTATTTTTTATGGGGGGCGGGGGGGGTGACTCCAGAGTGGACATTTCAGAGCCACCGCTCCCCGTTTTCCCTCTCTCCAGTTGTCCAATGTGTGAAAAACCTCCACCAACAGAACCCACAACCTTGCATGTACTACCAACACTGAAGCTGCACCTAGCATGATGATAAACTTTTAAAGGACTCGAGTAAAAAAAAAAAACAGCTAAAGATAGATTATAAAATGAACTAAAAAGAATAAAAGAGTTCTTAGTTTACTTTTGCACATGGTTGGCATTCTTTCTTGTTCTGAGTGTCTGTCTCTGTGTGTCTGTGAAACAACCTTACCGGGAGAAATAACAATTTGCACACTGAATGGTTCATTTGAGTCGCTTTAAATCAAACTGCTGGATGTTAGTTGTTGGAGAAGGGTGGAATTAATTGCATCATCGTCTGATCATGCTTTCAGGCTGCGTTACCATGAGAGATTTTATATTAAGATAAATCATTTATGAGAATCATCACACAGAATAAATGCATTTAGAAAGCTTTGCTGAATTAACCGTTTTGTGATTACAGCGAGGACAGTGAAAAAAATACAAAGGCAACAATGGAAACACACTCAGTTACTAGTAAAAGTTTTTATTATTATTATCAGCAAAATGTATATAAAAGTATCAAAGGAAAAGTACTTGAATCTGATAAATTATTACGTTATTAAATGGTGAATTAATGCATAAGCAGTTTTACTTACAGGTAAACCATTCAAGTGGTTTCTAACCTAGTGGCCAGACCCCTTCCAAAATAAATCTGAGGGGTTATGAGATGATGAATTGGGTAGAAACAAGAATTTGCAATGCAAATTTGTATATTTTTTCTCACTTTACTCTAGTCACTAATATTAGAGTGTTTTGCCTTAAACAGTCACTTAAATGAAACCAGAATTTTAGAGTGAAAATATGTCTGAAGTAACTGCTAACAAAAAAGCGGCATCTTATAAAAAGCGGCCAAACTAGACTATTATTTTGTAAAGAAAAATACTCAAGTAAAAGTGCCTCTAAATTGTACTTAAGTACAGTACTTGGATGTCCTTATACATGCCCACAGAACAGAATGAACTTAAAGGGCAACATGTGATTGATGTCAGATGTGTCAAATGATGCAGTGATGAACAAAATGGCCAGTGTGGGTTGTACCTGAAGCTAAGAAAGGTAATATGGCTTCAATACAGCAATAATTGTGGTATATTACCAAAAGGCCTCTTCTGTCAATACTGTACCTACCCGAAGATTTAAATTATACATAGCCGTACTTTATGTTCACTGATGGTTGTAATGCATCTTTGAGTTTCCATCCAGCAAAGTCATTATTCAAATGCACCCTTGCATATTGTCATTATATTTAGAATCACTACAGGATCTCAAATCTTTTGAGTAAAACATTTGTTTATTAATCGGTTATCCTGAAATTCTTTGAAATGTATATGATGAATGTTTTTCTAGTAGTTGTCAAATTCCATGTTCAACAGAGTAGCTCGTTTCTGAGAGGAATATTTTAGCAGACACAAACTGCACTCGTTTGGTGTCGATCAGACTCAAGGTGAGGCTGGATTAGTCAGACGGAAGCGTCTCGTTCGTTTTACTGCTGGTTTCAATCTTCAACTCACAGAAGGAGTGAAGTCAGGTCATCAAGTTGTGTTTTCAAGTTGTGTGTGTTTACAGTACAGTACAGTTCACACTTAATGTTAAAGTTATTGAGCAAAGAACTTTAATAATAGATCTTTAATCGTTTGTTAATCAGAAAGACATCAAAATGTGTACTTTTAAGTTGATTTTACCTAGTCTCCTATCCTCACATAGCATACTGAACACCAACCTTCAAGTAATCTTCAAACTCAGTGAATAAATTAAAATTTGAGAAAAGTCCAGGATTTTGAACAGGAAGAGGTTGAAATCATGGAGGGTATCCAGTCAATAGAGAATATTTTCCAAAGTGCAGTGTGCAAGTGTTTGTGTGTGTGTCTGTTCAGTAGCACAGCAGATACTGCCATCAGATCAATAATAAATCACACATCAAGCTTTGCTTTAAACACCAAGACCCTGTGCTCATAGCTCTATTGACATGATGAAAGCTCATGAAAAATCTGATTCAGACATTAATAAAAGGCGATCGCTGACCAAAATATGTTGGAAACTCTCTCTTCAATGATTCAAAAACCATCTGCTGAATCTTAACAGCCGCACTGCTGTTTACATAAATATTAATATTGTAACATCTATGAGGATAGTATTACGCTTTTACACCAGATCTCGTTTACAATAGCCAGCAGCTATACACATCAAATGGGCCTTGGGTGTGGTATTAGTGTCAAATATGGTATTGGCTTGTAGAGTGCATAATGTCAGCTGAGTGGAGTTTAGCAAAACCACAGGATAATATCTGAGTCAATGTATGAAACAACTTCCTTGAATTAGGCTTATTCTGATGATATAAAGTAGATCCTGGGCTAAAGCATTTGAGAGACTGGGTTGAGAATGCAGTTGACTAAGCATGTTTTTAATAATCTGTCAGGCTGTAAACTGCGAAGTGTTGCATATTTCAATGAATATTTAAAGCTTTTTTACTAGAAGCCTCCTGACAGATTTCTGTAATTTAACACCAGATTCAAGCTTCGCTGTAAACAAAATCATCATGCCAGAATTTGAGTTAAACAGAAACCATATACAGTACAAGTATAGACTACATACAGTACAGTAGAGGGTGGTGAGGCTGCCCAGCCCTCTGGCGCAGTATGAGTGTGAGAGCGAGGGCAGCAGCTCGTGCCCCTGAGAGAAATGACAAATCATTAGCTCTGGTCCAGGGGTAAATGGGAGCCGCACTCTTTCAAGGCCCACATTTCCATTTCAATTTTCTGCTCAACAGAGTTGATGTATGTGGCGAATCACATGGCAAGACCACTCTCCACCTCGGCCGGCTCCAGCCTCCTGTTATTCACTGGCTAGAGTACCTCTGTGACCTTGTGTCTCTGTGTGCGTGAGAGTGTTTTATACACTGATAGCATCAAAACCATTGTCACTGAGCCCAAGACGAAGGGACAAGTGAAGAGAGTCTCTAGGTAGATGTGAAGTTTCAAAACGGAAAAATAGAATCAGTGTTTCCATTGAGGGGTAACATGTTTCATAAGATAAGCTGACAGTGATCTAACTGTAAAGTAAATTCATCTGTATAAAGATGGCAAACAGCACACTTGATCCCCATGTACAGCCGACCTGCTAGGTACAGTGATGGAGAACTTTGTAGAAGGTTGGAGCCTGGTCTCAGGGGTGGATCTAGATGGATGCCATCCCAGTATGGTATCAAATGTTGTCAGATTTAACACAATAATTAATAAATGTGTTAAAAAAAACAGAAATTAGTAGAAATTAGGAAATAAGTTTGATTTATTAATGTGCCACAATAGTGTAATGTTAAAATATCTTCATTTTGGTGCTTTTCCAAGAAAATATTGATATATGTGATTGTTTACGATTAAATCAGCACATATTTCCGCCACACCTTAAAATCATGCCACCCTTTTGCGACCCCATGAATATTTCACTAGCTCCGACCCCGCCTGGCCTGTTTTCACTGCAACTCATGTAAAAAAGTGAAAATAAAAATCTAAGAACATGAATAAAACAGCAAAATGCATGGAAAATGAATGCCAAATAATGTAGATGGAACACAGATGGATGCTGCCTGTCTGCCACAAAGTGAGAAAGGAACATAATGAGCTGCAGTGGGACGGACTGCTGTAGATTCAGGCCTGAGGTCCCTGCAATCTTATCGACATAAAACAGCATTTTCAGCAGTTGAAAAGTTGTTTTTTTTCTTTCAGTACACGCAGGCAGTTACACTGTGATTAAATAGTGATTCTGAAACATTTTATGATCACAAGAAAAAGAAAAGTTGTATAAGTTAAGAATGGAAAATTGAGGCAATCAGTATCAGTCCCAGTAGCTTTTGTGGTTTGCAGCATGGGTTCCCAAACCTTTCCATTACAAGGGCCCCCAAATAGCATTGGCTTATGGCTGGAACCGCCCTGTCGCAAGATGTCTTTAAGAACCCACTGACGATACTGCGGCAAATGTAAAAAACAAAACAAACAAAACAATAACAACTTATATATTTCTGTAAAAACAGTTACACTTGTATTTCTAATCTTTAACTCATTAGATTCAGTATTTCTCTTTGTATGTGTTTGGGAGTGAGATTGATAGATGCTAGCAAGCAAGCGAACTCACTACATTTCAGGAGCAACAGCTCTGTGGCAGCCGGCACGGACCGTCAACAAGGACAGTTTATCTTATGAATGTGGTCTGTGTTTTGACTGGCAGGCAAATAAGATTTCAACGTTTCATGTAATATATTATTATAAATTATAGTTTATATTCATGCACATAAGTCAGAGGATCATTTCTTTGATTTTATATTTTTTAATTATTTTTATAGCCTTTTCCCCCTATCTTCCCTCAAAGATTCTGAGCTCCCCCTGCCACACCTTGGTTCCTAATTTGAGAAACACTGCCTTATATGTTTAAACACACTTCATTTGAAAAAGTTGGCAGTGGGCTTTTTCTTGCTTCATGAAAAAGGAAAGTTTTTCTTACTCCTTAGTGAGTTATAAATAAAGAAAAATGAAATCAAAGGTACTCTCTGGGCAAAAATGTTTAGAAATGTATTTTAAATAAAAAATAAGTGATAATGAAATAGATTTAAATTACCACATAAAGTATGTCTTCTAAAAAATATGTGTTTGAAAATCAAGTCAATTTTCAAAGGCAAGTCTCTTTTCTCTGGAACAGAAAGAAGGTCCTTCCTTTTGTAGCTGTGTGTGCAGAATGATTGAAAGCAGATCTATAAGCTGGCACCAGCTCCATTTTACATGACCTGAGCCAACAATACTGCACTTTAATCTTGTATCAACTAAGTTCTGAAAATCAGCTAACAAGAAGCCACCCCACAGAGTAAATTAATTGACTCAACATCCACAGTCAACTGGTAATTGCTGAACCATCTCTTTGGCACCGTGTTCATACTGATACATTGTAATTTACTTTGAGGTAATACTAAGTGTCACTGTGTGTGTGAGAGGAGTGTAGATAGGCTAAGTATAGAGAAGAAAGTGTCAAGAGGAGACGCAGATTGAGCTTATCTGTGAGCTCAGGCCTTCCTTTGTCAGAACGGTTCCTTTCTGATGAAGACTCTTTGAACCTGACAGAATAATTAAAAAGCAAGGAGGACGGAAAAGCTGACATTTGCATTTTGACCTTTTTGATTTACGTGGCGAAAATTGCTCCCAGTTTCCTCGAGAACACATTATAATATCAGTCTGCCCTTGTGTGTGTGTGTGTGTGTGTGTGTGTGTGTGTGTGTGTGTTTAACTATGCGTTAAAGTTTGTGTTTAAGAGTGCATGTGCGTAGGTATACATAATGATTCTATATGCGTACAGGCAGTGTGTATTTATGAGTGTGTGGGAAGAATAAAAGAATATATTTATGGCATATTACCCAGCCACCTCTTCATTAAGGAGCTGTTTTCCAGTAAGCGGGCTCTATTTGAATAGCTAAATTGTCCAAGCAGTGTGCAAACGAGGACTAATAGCCCGGTGTCCTTGTCACAGACAGCCTCTCCGCCAAAGTCAAACTGAAGAACTTGAAGCGTGTGCGTGGGTCTGCGTGTGTTTGGCAGCATGTTCAGTAACAATATTTCTGTAAATTTAAGGGTTTGTTTTTATAATGTCCACTTTCTTTAGTACAGTAGTCAAAGGACAAATTTAGCAAGTTAGAGCTATCTATCCTAATCCTAGCCCTGTGATACCTTGTGTGAATTATGGACACATCTTCCAGTTGTGCCTGGAATCTGTGAGAGTAAGCGGTATGCTGCAGCTGTCTTTGAGCTTTTTAAGAAATAAATGAAATGGGAACCCGGTGTTCAACAAGAGAATATCTCCCAATTAAGATATGACCTCTGCCCCGTACTTCTAAGGGATGGGAGGACTTGAAGAACTGACCTTGGATAGCTGTAACAAACTAAATCAGCTTTGCATTAAATACAATGTTACTGTTTTCATGGACAGGTTTTGCTGTTCGAGGCTGCACCACAAATCAAGCTAAACTAAATCTGTGAGTTAAACAGCAGTGTTGCATATAAACCTAAAACACAAAGGATTGTTTGCCATGGGAAAGGTATCCTGTGACAAGGAATAATGTGGATACTGCAGGCTTCAAATGCTTCTTCTTTGAAGGAATACATTTGGGAAATAAGCTTATATGCTTTCTTGCCAAGACTTAGAAGAGAATATCATCTCCTGGAGTTTATTGTGGTTGTCTGGCAATCTCATGGAGACAACAAGACTCAAAGAAGTGACTGTGTCCACCTCCATAAAACCACAATGGGTCAATTTTCCTTGTGAGTGTTTGTAAGATTAAACAAGCCAGATATAACATCTTACCTTTAGAGGTGCTCATAGGTGGGTTTTGTTACCATTGGGCAGAACTTGGCTAGCTATCTGCTTTTGTTTTTACTTTATAGAAGTGGTATTCTTCTCATCAAACTCTCAGCAAGAAAGCAAATAAGCCCATTTTCTCAAAATGTCCAACCATTCCTATATTCACACAACATATTTTCATTCTAATAGAGACAAAATTAAAACATCCACATGATCATGTATTACAGATCAAGATAAAGTGTGGATGCTATTCTAAATGACCATAAAGTATATCAGTTAGAATCACCTTCTCACTGTAATGAACACTATCAAAGGTTGCACGTAAAAGGCAGACCTTGTGAGGTAGTACATCTTTCTGTCACACTGTCCTTCAGAGTGTATGCGTCTCTAAAGAAAAAGAACATTTTGATGCTGAAATCCCACACAGAGTCTCCCCGAGTCATTTCTTTAAGGCCAGAACTCAAAACACGAGATTGGAGCTCCGGCAAAGAATTTCATAGAAAAATTAGTCCTTCAGACTGTCTTTGAGAGGTAACCTAGAGAAAGTTTCAGCATTGTATCCTGTCTACATGAAATACACAAATGTGTGGACGTGAATTTGATGTCACACATGTACTGCTTGTGTGTGCATGTATGCTACATAGGTTGTTTAGGTTATTATTATTTTTTATTTCCACTCACATACAGTAATTTGCATTTTTTGTCAAGTAATGGTAAATGTACTTCATATTCCTAAAGCAATATGACATGAAGTGCTGGAAATGATTATGGAAGCAGAATTTCCTTCACAGAGCACTGAAACAGCAGCGCAATGAGCCAGACAGGGAATTGTCATGCCCAGGATATAGGAAAGTCTGAGTAGAAAACACATTGTTATGAACCCAGGAGTGTAAGGCTATGAAACATATTTCTTGAGAAAAGTATTCGGGGGGGGGTTAGTTGGAAAATCTCATGAGTTTCTGACGAATCATCTTGGGTCCATCTGAAAGACAGAAATCTGAGAAACATGAGAGAAAGCCAGTCACACAATTGCTTCAGATCAGATGTCTGTGCTGAATGTGAAAAAAGGAAAAAAAAAATACAATGGTATTGTGAATAATTTAATAATTTCTCAGAAGGATCAGTTGCTTCAGTAGATGTTAAGGAAGCAAAAATAATATTTCGTAGGAATGAAACTTACTGACCCATTTAAAAAAGATTCTCTGTTTTCTCCTTTTCTTTGAAATCAAAGAAAATAACTGGGTTTTCAGGATGCATCTCATTAGTTATAATAAGGTTTTGAGTGTATGTTGTTGACACTGCTGCACATTTGCAGAGCAGTCACCCCAGCTGATATATGTCTGTCCCAGTCAGCTTACTTTTCCTTCAGAAGGTGAAGGCACAGGAATGCTCGCCACAGTGAAGCCGTAACAATTAAAAACAGCTCATTAATCCTACTTATGACAGCAGAAGAACTGCATCTGGGCTATTTGTGGCAATGCAGCACAGTCCCGCTCTGTCAAGGCCTGAGTTGTTTAGAAATTGTATTTTTGCAGTTGTCATGGAGGACCATTTAACAAAAGAAACAGAGATGCACCCTGGGGCTGAATCCACATCTTTGGAGATTGTTCAGGAGTAAATCAAGGGATGACTCCATGTGCAACAACATAATGACTGGAAAGATTCAAGAAGAGAAGTGATCTTATAACATATGTTTGATAAACACACGATACATTTTTACTGTAAAATGTTAAAATTGTCTATAAAATGCAAGTCAGATTGAAGTGTGGATTGTATGTGTGAAGTATGAAAGTACACACTTATGTGCTTATATAATTATGATCCCTTCTTATATTGTTTAAAAACATATACCTAAAGAATATAAGCATTAGCGTGAATAACAATTAGTACAAATACGATTTCTGTGGAAAAGGTCATAAGACCTTGCTTGGACATCTATATTATACTGCCACCAAGTGGTTAAAAATGCGTCTACCAGTAATATCCACTGAGACTTTAATTCCCTCATCATGACATGAAAAACACCCTCTCCAGTTCTTTTGAAAACACTTACTTTCAAAACGTATCTCCTGTAATTTTAAGTGGTCCTTATGTTTTCAAAAGGTCCACCCTTTAATTGCATGTCAATAAAAATTCCTTTACAACTCTAAAAATGATTGTTACAAATAATAGTTTGCTTATTTAAGCGTATTTCCCAAAATGTAAATAATAATAATAAACCTGCTTACATGTAAATATAATATATAATAAATATAAAACAATATAGTAACTTTATTTATTTAGTTAAAAGGTGTTGTACAGGTCAAATAACAATATGTACCCGGGGTTTGTACAGTATCGGCACTGTGGTGTAAAAAAGGACACTTTACTTTCTATTAATTTCTATTGTTTTTATTGACCTCAGATCAACATGTAAACATTTCAGATTTCAGTGCTGACCACTGAGCAGGATAGCCCAGCATGACTGCAGGATGGAGAGAAGTCAGATGTCAGCCATGTTAGAGTTCAGAGTGCAACAGGACTTTGGCTTTCTTCATGTTTTTGGCCACTGTTAAAAAAGAGACAAAAAATCAGAATAAAGACCATAAATTTGCTGGCAAAAGGCTCACTTGACAAATCATATATAAGTGACACGATGAGAGCATGAGAGTTAGCAAATTGGGCTGCCAGCGCTGTCTATATACTGTAAGTCTGTACCAGGTTAGGTAAGGTAACCTTAAGGTTCAAAGTACAGCTAATCTGCTCACCTTCCAAGATCATAATACCCTAGAGCATTAAACCCCAAAACTTCTATCTATGTTCTCTAACTAACTGGTGATACAAATAACATTACACCCAATTAGGTTCATTTTGATAAGACATAAAGCACTGTGTAGAATCGTTTGATTGTTTAAGTGATTTTGACATCATTTTCTTAACAAATGATTGCCTTAAAAGTGCCATGCCTTCTGTTTCTGTAACTAAAACTTCATTTTACAAATTGGACACAATGATTTTTTAAGTACACAGCATTTCTAAAAGTAGTTAGACCTCAAGTGCCCTCCTGCTGAAACCTAAAACCTGTAAAAGTCTCATGTTAACACACATAAGAAGCCCCTCGTTGTCTCTGTCAGACCTATCTCACAAAAATAGTTTGTCGTCTGTGAAAATATTGAAGGAGGAAGATGAGGGTTAAAACAGATGGGGCTCCGTCTGTCATCAGGTTCCTGACAGGTAAGGTGTGCAGCACTCTCCCCCTTCCTTTCTCTGAACTGTCATTAGAGAGAGTGGATGGTCACTCACATAGTGCCATGTCACTAGGCTCGTAGACGTAGTGGCGGTTGTCGTACTTTCCTGCAATGTCTGCGCGCACAGCCAAAGATGGATCTGCAGAAAGACGTGACACATGATAGGAAGATTTTGTTAACTGCCTGTGTTTCTGTAACAGTCAATATATGCAACTATAGTGTAAATATGCAATGGCAAAGAGAGAAAGCAAGCAATGAAAGTGAAAATAAAAGAGAGAAAGTGAGGACATGTGAAAGAAAGAGAAACAAACTGATGACAGGTGACAGTTTAATAAGTGGTTATTTAGGAGTGAGTGAAAAGCAGAATCTCAAGTCTTTCCCCAACACTTCCCACACCATCATTAAAAATATATAACTATTGAGCCCTTCTCTTCAGAGCCCTATCTATGTCCTTATCCATCTGTTATGCTTGAATCCTTATTCTGCTAAAAAAGAGTTAATCTGAGGGTTTATAATAATAATAATCATAATGTTATTATATTTAATATAATATTATTATATATAATAAATGTATTATAATATATACACTTTATTTATAAAACACCTTTCAAATCCAAAGTTACAAGGTGCTGTACAGTGTAAATAGCAATATGTACCCCAGGTTTCTATTAGCACTATGGTGTAAAGATTAAAAGGACACTTTTTACTTTCTATTCATGTGATTAAAAAACAGGATCTCCAGTCAGCCAACACTTCCCACTCCATCATTAAAAATATATAACTATTGAGCCAGTTAGCCTTTATTCCTTTCCTTCTCATCAGAGCCATATCTATGCCATCTGTTATGTTTGAATCCTTATTCTGCCAAAAAGGCAAACCACTGAGAGACTTTTAGAGTTAGTCAGAGGATATTAGGAAGTTTTGCAAATCTAATTGAATCTCAAAGAACAATAAGGGAAATATATATTTTTAATTACCTGTCCTATTAGACTATAAAATAATTAAATTAATTCTATAGTATGGTAATTGGTGTAAGTAATTACCAACAAAGAGGATTCTGGGAACATAGTAGCCATCAGGGGCCAGATTCTTGTCTGCGGTCTCTTCCTGTAAGAACAATATAATAGTTGTTAGATAATTATGAGCACAAAGAAATTGTGATAAGATATGCTAAATAGTGCTAAAAATAACACGTCCAGAAGAGTAAAAGTATATGTTTCAACCAAAGAAGGTACAAAGATGCTTGAAAAATATTCTACTTGTACTGTAGGGTCGCTTCTTATAATAAAAGATACATGTGCTCAATGTACTTACCACCAAGTTGAGCATGATGAAATCCTCTTTGGCCATTTTCTGGATCGACTTTGCAGCAACAAATGCCTTCTTCAGCTCTGTTGAAACAATTCTGTTTAGCTTATATTTGAAATTATAGAAAATAAATTGTCTTTAAAGGATTTCTTAATACTTTCCAAAGACTCCATGTGGTTGAGACCCAACAGGAATTATAAATGTGGTCAGGCATTTTGAGCTATCACAGATTGTGTTCATAAACTTCTGGTCCATGCACTTATTTTTTTTAACTTTTTGACAGACACAGAGGATGCCACGCAAGTTAGGTACGAGTGTTTGGACCTAAAATATCCACTCTCTAGTTTGCTTGCCAGACAATGAAATAAGCCATAAATATATGAAACTCAACTTATTTAAATTGTCCCAAAGTGTGTTGAGGTGTGAACAAAACAGAGTAATTTCACAATCAAATGATGGACTGGTATGTTCGGGCATTCAAAGGCAGGCTGTGAAATATTTAGCTTTTTTTCTCAAACCTGACAAAATTCCAAAAGTAAAAGTCAGATTTGACCCTGCAGGCAGTCTTTATTGTCTATATGTGGAGAAACACACGTGGAGACTTCTGCTGAGTTTACGTCCTGGAAACCAGCTGTGTGATTAATGAATATAATTCTAACCTATCTGCATTGCCTGCTTGGCAGGTATTAAGGAATGCACCCATTGTGTTCCCCATGAAACCAAGCCCAAGTCAGGCTAGGAAGGACAGCGCAGGATGTGCAAGCCTTTATTTTTACATTCAATATTATTCTGCTGTAATAAAAGAAGATTACTACAGTACCTTGACTGAACGGGCAGTCGATTTGATGATGGATGACCATCAGAGGCTTCTGACTGTGAAAGCAAAACCACAGAGAAACAACTCAACACATTTCTCAACACAATAAACACAATGATGGGTGTGAATGCAGTCTTGCACAACCTAATCCCTGAGAAATCGAAGTGGCCGTGCCAGATTTTAAAAGAGTAATGACAAATAAAACGCAATTTCTTTGCTTTTATGGGGCAGTAATGGTGCTGTATTCCATTAGAACAAATGTAGCTCTGCTTTATAAAGTATTCGACCCCAACTTGAACCAGTAAGTCACCCCCATGAAGATATATCCCACTCACAGACTGTAAATAGTGGTATGGTATTCACAGTATTAACATTGAGAATATAAGAAGAATCACAATGTGTTTTTTTCTATTCAAACTGTTCAAATAATATTATTTTGAGGAGCTGTAAGGCTGTATTAAGGAAATAGGGGGCACAGATTCCACTTTCTCATTTACATTTTGTTTTTAAAACTCATATCCAAACAGAATCATTAGATATTCGAGGCTGTTATCAAAAGTCTTACCTTTTGACCATCTTTGACAGGCCTTCTTCATAGCTTTGGACCCAACTAATACTATCCCCCCATCCTGCAAGACAAAAACAGCAATGGGGCCACCAGTACATGCTCTGTGGTTACAAACTCAAGCTCACAGCCATGAATTCAGTTCAGCTACTGATTCTTGAGATGGAAACTATAGCTGTGCGTGCTTTTAAAAAAGGAAGATCACCCACCTCTTGACAAGGACTTTTCCTGTTCTCCGGCACTGGCACAGACACCAAAGAACAAAGCAAACAAAACCCAGCGAAGCATCACTTCCTGTCATTTGAGGCAATTAGAGAGGGAAATTCAGTGAGATTTATATTTGTAATGAACAATCACGGACAATATTACTGTAATCACAGGGTTTGCTGATAGCACACTTTACAGATATCTGCAGTTCATGTTTTTCTCTGCAGCGCTGACTCACCAAACAAGCTTGACAAGGCTGAGATTCATATTGTTGAATAGTAGCAATGTCAAGGAAGCAGTTAACAAAGAATTCTTAAACGTCACCTTCATATAAAATCTGCACTATTACTAAAAGCTGCTGCTGCCATGTTATAATATTCATTTTATGAGCAGAAATTCTATACGTATTAATCTGAACTGATTTAAAATATAAAAACTTTTACTGCATTGGTTCTGATTCTTTGAATTATCAGAATAAAAACAGATACAATAAGCTTCAGTAAACTACATCACTGCACCAATACTATAACTTTTCTGTGCAGTGAACAGATTATGTAAAAGCACCTTATATGTTTTTACATAATCTGTTCACTGCACCTTATATTTTTAATTTGCACTACAATTAGACTGCTTATTTATACATTTTTTATAAATTTTTTTATATTGCTTTTTTTGATATATCTATCTATCTATCTATCTATCTATCTATCTATCTATCTATCTATCTATCTATAAATCCATTATTACATACAACATTTTCAGTAACAAGATTTTAA